TCAGTCCATATTGACGGGTGGATGAACATATACTCACAAAACCGCCAAATAGCTGGAATATTGCTGAGTGCGGCGTAAAACTAAACTCACTCACAAAAGGACCGCATGAGAAGTACTCAGTTGTTGATAGAATAATAGAAGGCAAATCTGTACGTAAACTGCACTTTTACTTCCTTTTCATGTATCGTGGTATCCTTTTTATATTGCTCGAAAATCAAGTGTAGCCGAATTCACGAGGGGTGGTTGAAAGGTTCTGAGCCTATCTGATGTATAGTACACTCTTAATAGTGTGCATGTAGTACGTTCAGTCTGCCTGCTTGGAAGCTGTATTTAACCTAAGTACACAACCAGGGAGCGTAGTATCTAAAGTATAGAAAAGGGCGGTATTTTGAGTTGACTAATACAAATGGATAAAATTGTCTCCTGTGTTGCTTTAAAAATGTGTAAAGTGCTTGCTTCAATGGACATCCATTCAGATATGGTGTCACCATAGGGGGATGGTCTCCTTCTATGGTCACCATTAGGAGATGGGTAGTGGAGTTATAGAGGGCAAGGGGGGCTTAAAGACGACCTAAGATCAAGAAGACCTTCAACTGCAACATCTGAGGAGACCGCCTCCGTGGCGTAGTGGTTAGAGCGTCCGCCCGGAGAGCGGAAGGTCGCTGGTTCGATCCCCGACCGCGTCATACCAAAAGACGTTAAAATATAGTACTTGTTGGTCCCTGCCTGGCGCTCGGCATTAATGGGTACAACAAGGACTGGTCGGCTCGGAGTCAGTATAATGTGTCTGAGTGGGGTACTATAAAACCAGCTTCAGTCTGGGCTAGTACAAGCAGCCGCACATACACATACACACGCATGCACGTCGTCATTTGAGCGAAATATTCTCAAGCACGACGTTAAACCCAATTTCACCTCACCTCACCACTGAGGAAAATGTTGTGGTAAAATACATGATACGACTGAGACATCTCTCAGGAAGTAGTTGACATCACTCTAAGACATGAACCGGACATTGTAAAGGTGATTGAGCTTGCTTGGGATTCGTACGTCTTGTTGATTGTGGTAGCTATAATTAAGATGTGGGTTAACCACTATCGGTCAGACATAAACAGTCGATAAATCGGTTGTACCGATGGATGCAATGCATCAGTGAGTGTGCCTTGAACTTCCTCAGTGTTCAGTCAGATTTGGCACCGTCAGATTGTTAGGTTATTATATATTACTCTGTGAGCTTATGAGAAGTAAACAGTCAATAAATGCCAAGAATTGATTTGTATGCCGTGGAGTTGAAGAAACAGGACCTTGATTCTGTTTAGATCAACACCACCAAACAAATGGGAATGTCTGCTTATCCAAGGTTGATTGATGTAGCGTATTTCGTTCAAGAAAAGTAATTGTTACAATGGAAGCACATGGTTTCTATAATACGTTAATACGTGAATACACGAAGGACTTAATTTGTTTCCTTTCTCTATCAACCAAGATCATGCAGAAGACGTTTAGAAGTTACAAACTTTGATTTTACTTTTTACTTTTATTCAGGGAGAAATCTTATTAGCTGGGAGATCGTATTAGCTCGGAGTCAATAAACAGAACAAACGAAACTAAACATGCGCTGTGGAATGTGCTCTGTCAATCAAAGCGACACAAATAGGGTTATTTGAAAACGCCTTCATGTGTATGATTATTCGAGATTCCTTCCCAGGACATATTTTTCATCAAAGACGAACTATAATTACTACTTACATGAATCACTCTTTCTGTGTCTTATTTTCAGGCAGATACTGCAATTGCTAATATCTGTGATTGCATCAAGATCAATATGATAGGTTTCCATGGGCAAGTAATCACATCCTGCACATGTGTCTGTAGACGATTAACGTGGAACTAGACTTCCTGGTTCTGTGATTTGTGCATGTACACACATAAAGCCATATATATAGTATTCCCAGAAAATATTGAGAAGTTTGTATCTGCAAATATCTAATACATGTATATGAACTATAGAAGTTTTACTTAAATGAATATGTTGAGATATGATTCTCTACAGTCTAAGTGTCGTTTCAGTACTTTGTGAGATCTCCTTGCCCTGCAATACACGACTGAATGTACACTAACGATCAAAGTTTGTAGGAAATCGGGAGACAGCGTATCCCAATATTCGGTCACTTCTTTCTTTATATCCTCAATATTTCTAAGTCCATTTTGGTGTATTCTGTCCTTCATCAGTCCCCACACATTATCAACAGGGTTATTGATGGAAAGTCCAATTATCTTCATACAGTGTTCGGGCCGCTGGGAGGAGGTGATCATTTAAGATGTCAACATATCGTTCCTTCGTGAAATTTCCAGTCAAAATACACTCCACGTCATGATATCCCACCGCACATGTAAAATTTCGGGCTATGTTTTGGCCGTTGGTAGATAAAAGCCAGAAAAGAAAAAGAAACCATTATCCAATCTTGATTTTCGTGAGCCCTACACCAGTTGAAACGTCTTTATTTTTGTGGATCTTTCATCAATGGTGAGGGAATTCCGCACATTTTCACTCAGTTAAATCTTTGTAATTCTTGCCTAAGGGTTTCATTACATACCTAAGGACGTCCTGTATTAATCATCTCATTTCTGATATTCTCAACGCTTTTCAGTTTTCGCCAACTCACAATCTGACCAAGTCCCCGGCGATCCGTAGTATTGAACTTCCTTGGCCTCGTGGTCCCTGTCTTGTGATCAATCCAAACTCCTGACTGAAGATTCTTCAAAGTTCTGTATGGTGTAGTCAGGGTGAGTGAGTGAGTTGAATTTTACGTCGCACTCAGCAGTATTCAAGCGATATGGCGGCGGTCTGTTAATAATCGAGTCTGGACCAGACAATCCAGTGATCAACAGCATGAGCATCGGTCTGCAAAATTGGGAACCGATGACGTGTCAACCAAGTCAGCGAGCCTGACCACCCGATCCCGTTAGTCGCCTCTTACGACAAGCATGGGTTACTGAAGATCACTATTCTAACCCGGACCTTCACGGGTCCTGTAGTCAGAGGAATGTCATGTCTACCAGCTAAAACTCTTTCACATTAGTCACACTTTTAAAATCATCTGGAACCAGCTTTCCTTTATCTTCTGCTGTCAAATCTGCCAAGTCAACAAAGGAAGCCGTCTGCTACCCCAGGGGAGATAACTCTTGATGTAGTAAGGTTCATTCTTAAGCCTACAAGAGCTGCTTCCCATATTGAGTACCTCAACACACAATGTAACATATATTTTTAAATTCCATTGTCAGTATAAGGAAACAAAGATTTTCTCAATAATGTCTGGGAAAACTGTATGTACTTAAGAATAGACTTAATACAGTACTTCCGCCATTGAAATGTGTATGGATGCAGACTTGGTCTCGTCGCTATATGGCTGGAATAATGCCGGTGTGACGTAAAACTCAGTTCAACTCAGCTCAACTTCCGCCATAGGTTTAACTGGTTATCGCCCTCTCTCGGGTAGTGATGCCATCTTTCTTCGTTTTGCATTCGTTACAGATGAGAATTCATAAGCAGTGCTACAGGCTCGGTAAGTTAGTGATAGAGGCTGCCTGTACTTTGGCTTCACAGACCCACTAGAGGCTATATTCAGGGGATTGAGTACTTTGACTTCACAGACCCACTAGAGTCTGACTATATTCAGGGGATTGGGTACTTTGGCTTCACTGACCCACTAGAGGCTGACTATATTCAGGGGATAGGGTACTTTGGCTTCACATATCCACTAGCGGCTGACTATATTCAGGGGACTGGGTACTTTGGCTTCACAGACCAACTAGAGGCTGACTATATTCAGGGATTAGGTACTTTGGCTTCACACACCCACTAGAGTCTGACTATATTCAGGGGAATCGGTACTTTGGCTTCACATATCCACTAGCGGCTGACTATATTCAGGGGACTGGGTACTTTGGCTTCACAGACCAACTAGAGGCTGACTATATTCAGGGATTAGGTACTTTGGCTTCACACACCCACTAGAGTCTGACTATATTCAGGGGAATCGGTACTTTGGCTTCACAGACCCACTAGAGGCTGACTATATTCAGGGGATTGGGTACTTTGGCTTCACAGATCCACTAGAAGCTGACTGTATTCAGGGGATTGGGTACTTTAGCTTCACAGATCCACTAGCGGCTGACTATATTCAGGGAATAGGGTACTTTGGCTTCACAGATCCACTAGAGACTATATTCCGGGAATTGGGTACTTCGGCTTCACAGACCCACTAGAGGCTGACTATGTTCAGGGGATTGGGTGCTTTGGCTTTCCTCTTATCAAACATCAGTTCTTTACAATATGTGTGCAGGTTAATTTTGCAGGTAAGTATATACCACGTGACAAACTTGTCTGTGTTTAGGGATCGTTGTCCTTGACCCTCATCCGAATGAAGTCTGACAGTATCAGATTAAATTAATCACGAATGATGAATGCAGACTACACAAAGGTAGAGGTGCTTGCATATGTTTATAACAAGAGTAAGATGTAAATAAGCACATGTGTGAATAGATCCAGCGATGTTAGCAATGGGACGTAGACATGGAATTGTTTTGAATCATACTGACACACACACGCACGCACTGCATAGACGCACACACAGAGATATTCAAATGTAATGCGCAGTGAACGATCTCGTGCACATAAAGGAGTTTTCACCAGAACAAATATCTGGACTTACATCTAAATGCGTATGCACCTGCAAAAGTCGCGTGTATATATGTACGTGTGTATAAATGTACCTCAGACAAAGATGCTATTGTGGCAATCTACAGAACTAATAACATCCTTTTTAATCTTGATTAAATCCAATATTCGAGTGCAGACTTTGAGAGCATATTGATTGTTTCAAGCTGTTACAGCTGCATTGTAGAAGTGTTATTGGCTTACAAAGCTTACATCCATGTGAACACCTGACCGTTCCCTGGTTCTATGCAGTCAATACTAAGACACACCTGTACATAATAGACACACTTAGCATGCATGTAGGCCAGTGTGGCTCGCAGGCCAAACCAATCATGTCAGTTGTATGTCCATCATAAAACATATGTGTCTAACGTTTTTGACCGGCGTTTCTGTCCAAAAATATGCCCATCGCCAATCCACGCCAGTGGGATTCTACTTAAAATAGAAATAGAAAGAAGGGCTGTCAGAAATCCATCATGGACCGTATCAGAGTGGGGAAAGCGACTGTGTTTATGTGTAGCTGTGGGCTATATCTTGTCGATCTCGCACCGACTGAGAACCATTCCCACAACACTCACCGTTCTACTTGTTACCGCACTGCACCCTCTACACTGAGAGCGGGACGTGTCAGCTGCAAGGACCGGTAAGTAGCGGTGCAAGTTGTAGACAGTTGACAGCCAGTGTACGTGTATTGCACTTGTGAATAACATTCAACGTACTTCTCAAATGTCATAGGTTCTCACGATTTGTTAAAGGTACTGTCATGGGTTTTATCTGTCATTATAAGAAAATTGGTCAAATGAATCGACATTCTCAATTTATCTTTGAAATAATATCAGATTCTAAGAGATTAACGCCGACTGGCTCCCATAAAGGTCCAGGTTAGAAATTAGCAACCCATGCGTGTCGTACATGGCGACTGACGGGAGGGGCTCGACAGGCTTGATGTTTGATGCATGTCGTTGTATCCCAAATGCGTAGATCGATGTCAATCACTGGATTGTCTGGTCCAGACTCTATTGTTCTGTCATATATATGGATTACCCGGATTGTGTCGTTTAACAGCAAACACACCAAAAACGGTGATCTATTGAGGGGACGAGTGTGTAAGTGTCATTAACAGCAATATGCCTACAATACAGGAATGAACGTCAAATATTAAAGTATTTGGGGAGGCTTAAAACCCGGTTATTCGGCCTGAACTGTGAGCTCTGTAACAACGAGGAAAGGTTCCTCCCATTTATTGCATTGTTGAAGTCTGTATTTAAACATTTCGCACGGCATTGGACCGTATGATGAGTGAGTGAGTTTAGGTTTACGCAGCAATATTCCATTTATATGTCGGCGATCTGTAAATAATCGGGCCTGAACCAGACAACAGCACGAAGATCGATCTACGCAATTGTGACATAGGTCAGCAAGCCTGACCACGTGCACCCGATCCCGTTAGTCGCCTCTTACGACAAGCATGGGTTACTGAAGATCAATTCTAACCGGATCTTCACGGGTAGGGTCTGTTGAATAGCTGCACGTATATCACGCTATGTGTGTTATTCATGATTCAGCTCAGGTGGTCAGTGTTTTCCCCCTGCAGTGGGAAACAAGATAATCCTCTATACGTGTACACAAACATTTCCACCTTTTACTACTGGGAAACGCGTTTCAGTAACAGTCTTATAGAAATATTCGGTGTATTCAAATAACATTGGTTAAATATTACGCTGATGCTTTAATGTCAAGGCTCTATAAGCCTATTGTCGCACCAACACCAACCAACAGTAACAGGCCCGTGTGACCTCTCGCTCCACGAGTCCGACAAAACGGGTTATTCATGAACGTCAGCTATAAAACATCTGACCGAGGAAACCCTGCATCTGTTCACATGTAGCGTGACACGCCGTGACCTCTCAACACCTCAATCCCAGCAACCGTACGCGTTCCATGAAGTCACTGATGCATTCACTGACCGTCTGAAAGAGTGTTTTGTCAAATACCCCTGTACTTGGGAGGTGAGAGTGGAGGCAAGAGGCCGATGGACAGGATTAGCTGCCTCAGATGTTGCTGCAGAGCAGCAATTTAAATCCAAAACGTAACATGTAACGGCACGGACGCATGGAAAGGTATGTGTAGATGTTCTCATATACAGAGCAACTATACTCATGCCAATACTGGTTGCCACCCCATTCAATTGTTTTAATTGGAGAGGGGGTGTGGGGTGGGGTGTGAGTGTGTGGGGGTTGGGGTGGGGAGGGCAGTGACAACCATTATTGGCATGAGTATATTTTAAAAGTAGACAATGTATGGATAAAACCTCCTTCAAGATTGATACCCACAATGTGTGCCCACATTGTCATTTGCCAGATATAATACAATACCCTCCCTCCCTCTCTCTCTCTACACACACACACACACACACACACGCACACACACACACACACACACACACACACACACACACACACACACATATATATATATATATATCCACCAGAGATACATCGTTGTCTCTGGTACAATATGAAGTAAGAGAGTATAATGTTCTGACAGGCGGTTACTTCAGAACATGTACCATTCCCAATCAATTCTCACCCTGAGTTCAACTCATATGGACATAAGGTGATTCCCGTATCCAAATGCGACTACTCCATAGAGTATATAACATTGAATATACCCAGGACATGAATCATACTCGTATGTCTTCCTCTACGTGAATTAATATCGGGTCAAATCACGCAAAAACATGTGTCGATACCTCACTTCCGTTTGATGTTTGCTGATGATATTACTGTAAGTGTAAGGGACAGGCGTTTGTGCTGGAAGGTTTATTTTCCTGCCATACAGTAAGTGTCTTCATGTTCTCTCAGAAACGTCTTTGAAGTGGCATGTTGTAACAGTACACGCAGTAGTTAACATTTACACACACATTTATCATTAGATCATGTCAGCATGGGATTCATAAACATTTTGAAAAATATATTTATACCCGAACAAGCAATCATTTCAGATTTAGTACCAATTAGGAGCAATCGTAAATGTGTTAGTGATTCAAACGAAATCAGTTGTAAGACATTATCAAAGGATATTTTAAAGGTTACGTTCAAAATGGCAATATACCACCCCACGCTGTGTTTGCTAAATCGATGTTAAGAAACTTCATGTTTATGCATGGGAATTGTGTGGTGTCATCGCAATATATATCATACCCTTTAAACATTCTGCATATTCCTCATAGCTTTTAAGTAAACATCCAGGATACGTTTCATAGCGTTTACGTAATAGGGTGGCACATTAAAGGCAGTATAATGCAAAAAATATTTATTTTAGTAATAAAACAGGGTTGATAATATACACCTCCTGTAACAGTGGTCAAACGTCAAACATAGGCTGATCTTCACGCAAATGCTGGTCTTGTAATGTGAGATGTAACGTGAGATAACCGAGACACATGCACGAACATTATGTATTGTGTAACTGTTCTGGAATGTTCCATAATATTCTGTGCTGGTAAGGACCATGCGGTAGTAGTGGCTTGTAGTATCTCACAGATATCTATCTTAATAAAGCACACCGTTGCCCCACAGAATGTCAAACGGAACCATGTAATACACTTGAAGCACTGTTACACAGTGAATAACTCTACCACATAAGAGTATATCGTATTGTATTATATAGTCAGTTATGGCACATTATGTTCTCTGTGTCATGCTGGGCATGAGCTGACCATTGGTAACTGTAATGGATACAAGGAATGCCTGCCCCGGCCAGCACCTGTCCAACTGCTGCCTATAAGCCCCTACATTGGTAAAGGATGTTTACAAAGGTTCTGTCATTTTCCGATTGATGGGGACATTATTAGATGCCGCATTAGTCGTGTATTTTGTCGACAACTAGATTAGACGATAACGTGATAAGTTCTCATCAGGAAGGAGCTGGGCTGAAATAGAAAGTGTGATATTCAAATAAGAACCATCAATAATACACGGAGATTGTTTCCTGAAGAAAATCTCCGCGATGAGAAAAACGTTTCCAGTGCGACGCTAACGAGGACAAATCAAGAACATCTTCCCTGCATTAGTGACAAGGGTTATTTTACATAATGATTATGGATTTGGCAAAGTTCAAGTTTGATGTCTCTATAAAAGTTTTAAACGTGCGGAGAATGGAGTTATGATAAGGAGACACTATCTCAGCTCAGTTGGTACATGGTTTTGTGGTGGTGGTGGTGGTGGTGGAATTGGGTTTAACGCGGTCGGGGACACATGGTTTTGTAATGCAGTGGAAGTGAAAGGCCGACTGTTGACATATCCCCTCTACTTTGGTTGGATTAAGACTGATTTTATAGCAATTGCTGTAATTGCGAAACTTATTTCAATCGATGGCTTTCTAAGGTCCTGTCCGGTTTGACTGCAATAACGCATAACACTAAGTTGGTAATTAAGTTATGCCATGATAATTTATTCATTACATACCGTTTGGCACCAGTTATTCATGCACGGTAGTTAGACAGTTTTCTTTTCGACTGTGTAGTACGTCATAGCACAATGTATAAAACAATGCCATGCTGTGTTTTTAATAGTAATGCTTGGTCCGGTTTGTTTCGTTTTAAAGCAACAATGACGTCATAACACCCAAACTTTGTACTTTCATCAGAAACAAATATCGGATGATTATTTTTGTTTGTTTCAGCCTTGTACATGCATCGTGCTTTGCTTTGGTTTCACAAGTTGACAATGTTTACACAGATATTCTCACACGAGTAATGTCACTGTCGTGAACGTTAATAAGAGAAGTACTCAGCTCTCGGGAAAGTTAAACTAAAACAAATGACAGTTTCTCTCTTGGTGATAATCTAGTACCTATCAAAGTCAGCATTTTCATCTTCAAATATTTTCAGTCTTGTTACAGTTCATATACATCATGCTCTTCCAATGTCTAACGGGTCACTTACAGGGTTCCCGATGCCATTAAACGAAAATCAATGAATCAAAAATTGAGTTAGCGTCTCAATCAGAGGATTTCATCGCCAACACATTCTGACCCTTTTCTGTTTGCAAGAGGAAATTAATTTGTCGTGATAGGGAATTGCAACTAGGGCTCTTCTATTCAAGGAGCCACTTACAGTTGACGTCTATAACGTCCCTGGGGTTGGCTTGATTCAACATAAATGGTCAAAATAAGATGTTTTATTTGCATTAGTCTGAGAAACACCACAGACGCAAAGTCTTTGAGTACCCCATTGTTGTCCAGATTCAGTGTTTCAGCTGTATTTGTCTTACTGTCACGTTGTGTCATCTTGAACCTCATGAAAACTCTTTAGCGAACATGGAATCCTTCTTACATGATCTCCTCTTGACTGCATGGAGCGTTACAGCAGCGCCTCGGGTTGTACAAATGAATAATAAATTGCTGCCAGTGGCATCTTGAGACTAGAAAATTAGCTACAACCTACAAGCCTGACAGATTGAGCGTTACAAAGAGGCTATTGAAAATAATGTGGCAAACAAACGTTAGATTAGATCAAACACTGTCTATTCTGGTAGTCAGCGCCTATCGACGTTTGGCTCCATCGCTAAGTGAATTAACTTTGACAATAAAAGGGAATGATTGATACCTCGCGGCTACTTAGTCCTGAGTTCGAATCTCCCGTTCCTCTGCACTCAAATAAGTGGGCGTTTATTTACATGGCTGAACGGATATTGGTTTACACATTAGGAATGTGCTGAAGCGCTAGACTGAGGCACGGCATGGCCATATCTTTCCACAGCTGATTAGTTGCAGGAACCTAAAGTATTATTAAACACCAGTGGTTTTGTTTGCGAATGAATAGTCTATGCTTAAAAGTAGGTGGAGTGCAATGTCAATAATACTCATGGGAGAGTTACACGGGGCGAACGCTTCTCCACTAAACAGCCACCATATCTGGGACAAAACTATTATTGTGAGTTAGCCTGTAAATTAACATTGTAAATTTATAGGTCATAATTTCAAATTTCCCAGCCAGTATTGTATATGCCAATAGTTGATTTCTGACGTGAATCTTAGTGCACAATAGATAAATTAACTAACGACAAATGTAACGATAAAAGATGTTAATTTGTTAAGAGCATAAATATAGAAAGTTAACGTATTCATGACAAATCAAACACACAAGAAAGATACTTTTCTATAGGAATATTTTTTCAACACATCTCAGTTTACTTTTTCACCAAAGTGTTTGTCTTGTCCTTGAAGAAGTCTGCTACCTTTGTGAAGATCCAAATTCTAACTGGCATGCAGCAATTCATGCATGTCGTGTAATGTAGACGCGAATAGTGCCAGAAATCTGTTATCAAAGCACTTCACCCTTTTTACGCTGTTCAAAGATTTTATATAAGAAAACAATGAAATCTGCTTTGTTTTTGCGTGGTGTTTCATCATATCTGATATTTACATTCACAAAGCTACTTTTACAAGGACTGTTTCTGTGTGTAGACCATGTGCTTCACCTTATCTGATATTTATATACACAAAACTACTTTAACATAGACTGTTTCTGTGTGTGTGCCGTGTGTTTCATCATATCTGATATATTACCAACACAAAGCTACCTTTACATGGACACGTTTCTGTGTGTTTTCCATCTTATCTGATATTTACATATTTACATACAGAAAACTACTTTAACATGGACTGTTTCTGTGTGTGGACCATGTGGTTCATCTTATCTGATATTTACATACACAAAGCTACTTTTACATATACTGTTTCTGTGTGTGGACCATGTGGTTCATCTTATCTGATATTTACATTCATAAAACTAATTTAACATGGACTGTTTCTGTGTGTGGACCGTGTAGTTAATCTTGTCTGATATTTACATTCACAAAGCTACTTTTACATGGACTGTTTCTGTGTGTGACATGTGAGGCATCATATCTAGCTCGTGTTTATACATCTTTGTGTGCCATAAAATCGATGATATCTAAGTTCAAGTTGCACTTTAATGTTTTCATTAGTACGTGTGTTTATATGTTGACATGTCATTTAACTTGGTGATTAAATAAGTCAAGAGTAACGCTTACTCTGACTACTTCATAAAAACATTCAACACACACACAAAAATACTTAAAAAGCTCAACTGGCAATCGATGACACCCGGGGGTGGTAATATACGCAAATCGTTACCGGTAACTGCCATGGGAACATATGTGCCGCAAATCTCTTTTGTACACTACAACAAAAGAAAACCGAGTCTTGCTTCAATGAGGCGCAAACATGGGGACGTGAAAATCAATGCACAGCAATACTATATGATGCGGGGGCACTGAGCGGAAATGATATTAATAAAGGTGATCGTGTCATTGGTTGTAATAAATATTGATGATGATGACAGGGTGCATCCAATGAAAGTGACGATGGTTGTGAGTTATACACTCTAAACAAGCTGTGTTTAATGTTAGATTGAAACCAACAAATATTAAACAAATTTCGGTCCTAAAGTTGGTCATGATATGTTTGAAGAAAGGCAACTACCTACAGTTTTAGACCAGAATATCGTTGAGCCATGCAGTACGAGACGGTATTGTGCTAGATCTTAGCATGGTATCGATAGTGATAATCATTTGATCTGTTAAGTGGTCCCAGCTAATACCTTTATCCCTTACCTTTGCAGACTGGATCAGCGGAAACGGAACTTAAGATTGGAATGAGTTGATCTTGGATTGCAGGGAATTATGAATACGTCGACATACTTTGAATCAGAACCAATACGTATGGATCCAGGACATACACCACATCGACATACTCCAGATGTTCACGGAATGTCTTCTTCAACAGCAATACATCTGAATACAACCATTGGTATACTTTACAACAGCACAGGCAACCTGGGGTTGAATACAGTTGCAATGAATGCTACTGTTGACATGACACTTGATATGGGATCTCGAGTGACGCTGATCATGCTATATACCATCACAAGTGTTGCTGCTGTAATTGGCAATACGCTTGCCATCGTTATCTTCGTGAAGGGACATCGATCTCGAACAGAACTTAGACCTTTCTTGATAAACCTTGCTGTCGCTGATCTCATCATGGCCATAATATGTATTCCATTCACCTTTACGTATCAAATTTTGGAGAAATGGATATTTTCTGCTCCCATGTGTCCAATTGTGTCCTTCCTTCAACAGATGGCAGTAACTGCTAGTGTGTCTACGAACATGGCGGTTGGAGTAGATCGCTTCTTCGCGATAACATACCCTCTGAAGAAGCGATTGACAACATCAAGATCCAAATTTGTGATAATTTTAATATGGTTCATAGCCATTGCCTTAAACATTGTTCAGATTATTGTTGGGCGGACATATGAAGATACGGACGGTTCTACGCACTGTAAGGAAGAGTGGCCAGAGCCAAGAGAAGCATGGATGAAATCCTACACCTTGTTTATAATGTTTCTAACGTATTTCCTTCCGTTGACAATATTGACAGTGACATATTCTATGGTTGGGAGAATTTTGTGGAGACGCCATTTGCCAGGTCACACTGACGAAATGAGGGATGCCCAGCAACTGAAGTCTAAACGAAAGGTGAGGGCATTATGAACATAACAAGATATCGTCGGTGTGTTACAAACTTCATCTGTGTTTGATTCAAATTGCCTTTGCAACAAACAGAAAAACAAAAGGTTGCATGATTAAGTTGTTAGATCTCAAACACATGTTCAATGATAGCATGTTAAATACTATAATTATCACTTCGAAAATAAAAGGGTATTATTAGAAATGTAACGATTCCAATTTTACTCTATTTATTGGGGATATAATAATAGAGCAGATGTTTCGAAGTGTTTTGAAACTTGATATGCATGACGTTAGTGAAGAATGCTTTCGTGTGTTTTCGAAGATGCGACTATTATGCCATTCGCTCAGATACCGCCATGTAATGCTGACCTATGAAGCATACAAAATACATACAAAGCATCCATTGCAATCACAGACAGTTCAATGTTGTCCAACACACACTGTGATTAAGGGATAAAGAAACCCTTTCATGACACATATTGCTTCCGTGCACTGGAAGCACGTGTCCAACACACATTGTTAGGGAGCACATAGTGTTTATCAGCAGTGTATTACTTGTGATCTAACAATATTTGAACACGTCTGAACGTTTACAGCATCGATTTACTGAGAGTCGTCAGTTAGTCGCCCCTGCTTGTCCCATACATGGCTGAAATGTCGTACTGTAAGAAAATATATTGTTTATAATGTCGATGCATTCCTAACTCACCGAATTCTTTCAAATGTTTACAAAATTATGATTGGCACTCTTAAATGTACAACTGTATCTTGTTCAGATCGTAAAGATGTTGGTGATCATCGTCCTGCTGTTTGGTCTGTGCTGGTTGCCTCTGCACACGTTCTTCCTGTTGGAATCCTTCATACCGGAACTGATGCGGGAGGCGGACAAAAACGCCCTGTACTACGCCTGCCACTGGCTGGCTATGGCCAACAGTTTTGTTAACCCAGTCATCTACGGCTTCATGAACGACAGTTTTAAGGCAAGTGCATGTACATTACTCAAACTCACACAAAATGCGGAATATGACAACAATCCGTGTTAACACCACTGTTGATCCCTGTACTGGGACCCGTGAAGATCCGGGTTAGAATTGGTCTTCAGCAACCCATGCTTGTCGTAAGAGGCGACTAACAGGATCGGGTGGTCAGGATCGCTCGCTCATGCTGTTGATCACTGGATTGTCTGGTTCAGTCCGCCGCCATATAGCTTGGATATTGTTGAGTGTGGCGTTATACAACAAACCAACCAACCTTGTACTGCCTTTGAATAAATGCTTTGAAAATCTTGTTAAATAGCAAATTAAGGCAAAAATGGAGACCGTTTGACAGCTTGCCATATCCATGTGGTCGAATCCCTGCTTGATGATAACATCCTTGTCAGCAGCATACATATGCCAGCAACGTGGTAAACAGTTGATACCTGTATACTCCGGACTGAAACTGTAGCTGGAATAAGTAGCCATCTTAACTAAAGCAATTCATTTTACCGCTCACCACACGAGACTGCTGATGCAAGATTGTGTCCCTTTGCAGAACAATGTAGTCTCGAATGGTACCCAAACGAATTCGTGTTGGACTTACCGTGCTCGGGGATCAAATAAATGTGCCAAAACATTTCACCTCAGTACCCTTTGCGTCTCAGACAGTGTCTCTCATATCAAAATGACTCTTGTCCATTGCGTGTTTATTCAGTGTTGCGTTAAAACAATCTCACACGCAACAATTTGAATACACGAGCGTCCAGACAGAACGAATGGTCGAATCATCTGACAACCTTGCTCCATGATGAATACGTTATAGATATCGGTGCCAACAAGTGCAAGACGTTCATTCTCTGACTATATAGCCCCTATTTACATTCCATGTTCTTGCGAGGTTATCATCACTTTGTACTGGTTCTTTCAGAAACTCGCATGTACTGGGGAGTCCAAATCAGATATGAGAGGCTATTGATGTGATTATTGTGGGTGTTACAATCGTCGCCTTGCTACAATCCGCCATTCCATGATAGCTCGCTGCCAAAACTCGTTCATAGCAGAAACAGTGCTCACTAGGGAGACGTAAAACTGACATATTCTCCAGGACGGCTTCTCTAACTCAGTTAAAGTTTCATTGTGAACCAATCCAATTAAACATATTCTTTTAAGTCGAGCAAAAATCGAACATGACTTGTTTTACTCAAACAGTGCACTTCCGACCACAAGTTTACTCATTGGGAAAACAATCATCGAATCTCTTTGATTGCTAGACAGGTTCTCATTTCGCCACCGACGAAGGCCAACCAGTCATGGGTCCCTAAAGGGATTACGATGTCAGAGAGAAATCGGTGATTTTTCAAGACGTGTCACGTAGCTAATTTGCTCGCCAGCCCATGCAATTACACACAATGAACTGTCTAGATTTCGCGGGCACAGTTTATGCTTTACGTGCAGATGATTCAACAATAACTGTGTCCATCTCCAGTTTTCATGTGTGAGCTGATGCAATATGCCTGCAGCCGAAACCAACCAGAAGGGTTATATTCCTGGAAAGAAAAGAATAATAGGCACTGCTTTTGCATCAGCTATGAACTGTCCAAACACGTATATCGTTCTTTGCTGATTGCTTTGCGCTAAAAAACAATTCTTTGCGTTCTGTGAAGAAGATCAAAACAATATTTGATAACACCATGCGCCGTACGTACTTCTTGAAACGGAATTTTGATGAGCTTTTTACCGTTGAACAAACATGTAATATTCGACTGAAGGGTTTTATGTCTGGCAATGTTGTTGCCTTGTCCCTAGAACTTCGTTACATCGATATATATTAAAGTCATAATATCTGGATAATACTACCGATTGAATCTATATATGGTAACAATAATATGGAATGTATCATATCTGAAGAAAGCTTTAAATAATCATATCTGGGAAAACAGCATGTTTTGAATCATAACATATGGTGAATACTATATATTGAATTGTTATATCTGAAGGATGCTAGAGAATGAATCATCATATGTGAATAATAGAAAGGATGAATTGAATCATTGTGTTAGGAGTGTTCTGTAGATTCACTCATTATGACTACGTGGTAGTATGAGGATATGAAGGTACAGGTGTGAGAACAGCAATTGCGTTCTATCCTAACACAGTACTGTCATGAGACTTTTGATGTAACTATGCATTTGTACTTTGCGCTAACAGTAGTTTTTATTTTTCTCTATTACTCATGTTCCATGGGTCTGTGTAAATATTAATGCTTATTGTACTGATATATCATCGGAATACAGATACAACACACGTCACCTAATGACGAGTCCTAGAAGATGAGTCTTTAACCGTGATATAAATAGACTGGTTACTACATGAACTCTTTCCGTTCTATCTTGCAGGCCGATCTGAGGACTCTTGTGCATTCTTGTCCATGCTGGAAGCATAAAATTACGTACCGTCCCGGTGCACGACGCTGGAAACTTGGTAACAACGTCGGTGACATCGCGTACACTACGGGTGACGTCACAGCTGCCCGAGGCCTACTTACACTCAAGGATGGTAGAGATTGTTGGCACAACGGAAATCTCTATGATCATACAAGTGTCTTGTACCTTACAAAGAGTTGTTAATGACATTGACGTTGTGAGCTTCAAACTGGACCTTCCTTATACGTCGTTGTGTCGTTTCATCTATGTGAACATCCAGTGTTATATTTACTTAGAAAGGGGGGTCATAAGGGTACTGTTAATGAAATTACACAAAATACAGAACCCGTTAATCAAATAATTTTATTTCATGCAACAATGAATTGAAAATTACTCAGTTACACACAATTAAATTTTCCAACAAGTATCCCTCATCTTGAAATCGATGTACTGCAGGATTGGCCGTACTGTATCAGTTACTTCTATGTCCCAGACTCACAGCAAAACTAATCAGAACGCTCACTCTTCATTCGTGTTATGAATCCTACGGGAGTTACATGGCATTCACAGCTGATCACGTCACGAACTATGATCGCTTTGTCTCGAGAGCCAGGACCACTTTGATGTCAGTGAAAGACAGGACCAGACAGAAGACCCGCAAAGTGACTGCTTCCCAACAGACTAAGAGCCATGATCTATATCACTGATCATGTTATATTCGCTGTGATGAAAGACGGATGGAAGCCTGGTTTGCCATAGACATAACGTCAGACATTTTGTAAACCTTATATTATATGACGCCTTCATGTTTTGTATAGTTTGTGAATATTTGTTGTTATCCCTTCTGGTACGTGGAGGAACCAGTATTGTGAAGGGAAAATGTTTTGGCTGAACTCTGTTGGTTCCCTTTGCTCAGTTGTCTGACCATTTTGAACGGCTTTAGTGACATTAAATATTATCAAAGAGCCGAGGAGTGTCAATATATGCGAACAGCAACAGTAGTTTTGAAACACTGTTTGTTTGTAGATACGCAACCTGACTGCTACATCGAAAAACTAATCCAGACTACACTTTCGTGTGTTTAGATTGATATATCACATAACTGTTTTAGATTATTTGAGAGACCGGAAATGGACGGTGTTTTACATGTAGTCACTTGGAAGAATGGAAACATGTCTAGTGCAATGTATAATAACTGCACTACTGTTGACAAAAGACCTGTGGTGGACAAGCCTGTTCATTTATTTTATATCGATAACAAATTAAGTGATATGAATTCGAGATATGTAGATTAGACATGATAAGGATGAACACCTGACCCTTCTATGAATTAGCGGCTTGACAGGTTTGATTTGTAGTAGAAGTAATCGCATTCCTGCTTCTCGATATAATTCAGTTTGGTAGATGTTAGTTATGCCAAAGTAGCCGAAAGTGGAGTGTAAATAACATGAACGTGGTATGTTCAATATTTGATGTATTATTGTATTATTACGTGGCGTCTCAGGAAAATAAAGCATGCCACTGTATGACAATTTGTTATATGTTACAGTAGAAGACCACGATTTGACTTTAGGGCAGGGCTTTGAACAAACTGTACTCGAATTATTGAAAACTGAATTGACATAATTTTATTTAATCTGTTTCTACAACATTTTGAATCTGTTTCTGGACAAGGAGCGACAATAACACCAAATCATCACAGGTTTGAAATACACATCTTCACTTAATTTGTGTATCGTATTGTTACTCTTTTGTGATAAATACAAATGATTGACACAACGTTGAAAATATTCGTTCAATCCAGTAACTCAGAGCGAGTGAACATAACCCCTGACACGAAGCCTGCATGGCTCTCGGGTTACTCTCGCGTATCACAATGGACGGACAATTGACAGAATGATGGGGGATGTTACAAATAAACAACAAAGCCGATTATGACAATGTCAAGAGGTGTTCGCGGGGTGTTCGCGGTAAGATGACCGTATCCTGCCGCACCGGCCACACCCGCGATAGAGTCAATGGAATCCAGAAAATCAAGAAGAATTGCATTATGCATCATGAGCAACATGTTCATGTCGGTATTGTGTATGACTTTGTCTTGGTGAATAATTGGGTGATAAAGTCGCTGTGTGTTTTAATGTGGAGGAACATTTACACATGTGTAGGTTACCAGGACATTACTGCCAATCAGTAAAAGAGCACGCAGCCTGAAAGATCAACCATTGGTGAGTGAAACACCAAACCCACCAAACACAGTAATCTATTGAGAGAACCTGGTTATTCGGCCTGAACTGTGAGCTCTGTAACCACGAGGAAAAGTTCCTAACATTTATTGTATTAAGTATATCAGGTGAAGTCTGTATTGTAAACATTTCGCACGGCATGAGATGGTATGAGTGAGTATAGTTTTACGCTTAGCAATATTCCAGCTATATGGCGGCGGTCTGTAAATAATCGAGTCTGGACCAGGCAATCCAGGGATCAACAGCATGAGCATCGATCTACGCAACTGGGAACCGATTACATGTGTCAACCAAGTCACCAAGTCACCCGATCCCGTTAGTCTCCTCTTACGACAAGCATGGGTTACTGAAGATCAATTCTAATCCGGATCTTCACGGGTCATCAAACATTAAGATTACCAAGCTTCCATCAAAGATAGCCTGGTACACTTTGTAAAAGCATGTTGAAATCCATCTTGTCTTGACAATAGTGCACGCAACACCACTGATGATCACGAAGATGTGGAGTGAGGCGGCACTGGCTGAAGCAAATGTTCAGGATACTGCTTTGAATTAAGTAATAACCGTATAGTCAATATGTGTCTATGTGCATACAAATACATGGGTACTCGCATACATGATAGATTGTGATAGCATGTAGCTCACTATCTTCGCCAGCCAGCATGAAGTGGGCGTCACAATACTAAAGTCAAGAAGCTTTGCAGAATATATTTCTACATTGTTACAATTATGATGGCAGGCCGTGCACTGTGATGCAGAAGGTGTAACGTAGCAGTCAAATATGGAAATTCACCAAATACTCTACAACGTCAGACATACTCTCTTCATCCATTTTCACCTTGTTCTCTGATCAAAATATAATGCCCTATTTTGAAAAGTTGGAACGTGTCGAGTAGCATTGAAACTGTACATGTCTAAACGTTTTCTACTGATATAAGCACATGCGGTGATACGGCCGCCGAATCAACTGTCAGAAGTTGGTTTTGTGGTTTGAAACTTCTGATGGTATATTTTGTGAAAACTTACTCTGCATATTGATTGGCTGTGGTTGTAGACGCTCACCATGTTACTTGACATCATGAAGTCTGTAGTTAGGGCTGACAAACATCAATACTGGCTATGAGGCCGGATCGGGGATTGGAACCAATAAACACCAAGACACCATGACGCCAAAAACAAGTACAGCCAAGCAGCTCTTCCTAACTTTTACGAGTGAGCTAGAACTGTTATGTAAGGCCCCCGTCCCACCAAGGCGTGACCGGTATACGACCGAGCGCGATTACAGCGACCAGTTCGATCGCAGCCGGTCGCAGAGTTTTTGCTACCGATTTTGACACATTTTGACTTTCCGGTTACACCAGGCCAGCTGTGCGATCCCACTACGACCAAAAAGAGTTAACGGGTCATTTTGTGGGCGAGCGAGTTGAGAGCGATACGATCGGTCGTATAGTGGTATGACAGTATTGGCGATTTTCCCTGCGAGCAGCCACGACTGGGTTATAACAAACACGACAGTTTCTGCGACTGACTTGCGACCGATCTGCGACCGACCTGCAATTGACCTGCGACCAGTGCGACTGTTTGTGCGACCGAGTACGACCGTATTACGACCAATGCGAGTCTATGTGAGTTCTGTGAGACTTTAGTACGACCATGGCGACTTTTTGTAAGATCGCATCGAGACCCATACGACCTCATCAAGACTTATTCGCGATCGGTCACCAAAAAATGTCTAAAAACGGCCGCGACCGACTGAGATCGTGTCATTCTGAGCCTGAACAGCAGACTGAAAACACCTAGAGAAGATGGACACTGAAATGACCCTGGTCCTTGCCTTGCTGTCGAAAACCCACCAACAAATACAGGATATTGGTAATTGTACCTTGGTCATGGTTAGACACATTCCGCGAAGGAGAAGAAGACATCGATGGCATGAAGTTTGGGTACGAGAGTGGCTTACTCCTTCGGACAGACAAGACCAGTGCCAGTACTACCTTCTTGTGGTTGAAGGAAGAGAATCCAACTCAGTTCAAGACCTACATGAGGATGCCAGTCGAACTCTTTGACGGAATTCAAGAAAGAGGAGGGCCCATGATAACAGGAAATGCACCAATTACAGACCCTCTTTGGAAGCAGGGTTGAAACTCGCACTGACATTAAGACACCTAGCCACCGGTGACCAGTATGGCCTACAGCTACAGGGTCAGCAGGACATCAGTTCAGCGCATGGTGCCATAACGGCAGCAGTCTTCTTTTCACTGGAGCAGTTCTTCGGTGTTGCCGGGTGGCGAGCAATTCTACAACTGACTAAAGATGATAATGATTTCAAATTCAAGACCGCCGCCAGTTGGTTTTTATAGCTCTAAATCACTCGGGGTACACTCGCAGAAGCGCTCGCCATTGGTGTGCTAATTAGTCGCAAGAACGGTCGTGATTGGTCGCATTGAAACCAGTGTAATACACAGTGCTCGCACAGGGGTCTTGGTGCGCTCGCCACTCATGGCGCTATTTTATCGCAAGTGAAAGAATCGCACAAATCATAGTGCAGTGCGAGTTCATGCAACCGGTATGCGACCGCACCAGGACCCCACTGCGACCGATGCGAGCACACTACGACCGAGTGAGCCATCGGTCGCGTCGGTCGCAACAGTTGTGCGAGTGTATGGAACCGTTTCATACACCCCCAGAACCCTCTGCGACTGATGGCGAGCGAGTGCGAGTGAGGGAGATCGAGTATGGCGAGCTTCCCAAGACCAAACTACGATCTCAGTGCGAGTGTGCGCGAGTGAATGCGACCGAGAGGCAAGAATCGGTCGCAGTGGGGTCGCAAGCTCGGTGTAACGGTGGTATAAACGAAAATGGGGCCTTCCTGTGTTACAAAGGTTCATGATATTCCTCATGTACAGGCTCAAGTGAGTTTGACAAGCATAGAACGCATCTTGTGTACGAGCCAATATCTCTTGCTTTTGTAAAACCGCCATTTCCATCAAGAAAACAAGTGAGAAGAGATATACCGCGCACAAGATGAACACGTGTGGACACGAAGGAAAACTGGCAATTTATCGGCGAGATTATGTGTACCCCACGCTGGAGGTGTACCCGAGTACGATACGATGTTCCTTTTCGGTTCTATGACGTACGAGACACACAGGGTCGGTACACAAATGCCTCGGGATTACTATCCCGTTGAATTCTGTTGATTGTATCCATGACTGACTGAGTTTAGGTTTACGCCGCTTTTAGCAATATTCCAGCAATATCACGGCGGGGGACACCAGAGTATCCATGAACTCTGGTCCACATATAAGTAACAATTCAGCGTTAGTCCTATCAGGATACACTTGACTTCGGTTTCAATTCACGGTCCGCACGAATGTGGAATCCATAGTGCAAGTCAGTTCGCCATGGCTGGAATGTACGACATCGCATGGAAGTCACTGAATGTCCTTATTCGCCGAAGTTTGCACCGTCATATGTACACGTCTTCCCAGACTTGACGAAAGAACTGCCAGACAAGCATTATGCAAATGACTGTTAAGTGGGGGACTGTTTTCGAAATCAGAAAGGTGTCTTTTTCGTTGGCAGAAGTGTGTGGACGGAGGGGATGATGTTGAAAATAGGTAGCAACACCATCGCAGACCGTCGTAGTTATATTAGGCCAGGATGTCTTCAATCTGGCCCTCCGTCCTATAGCTGTTGGTATGCCGGCACTCAAAATTATCCTAAATCAATTTGGTGTCCGGGATGGTTTGTAGTTAAAACGTTCGCACTGTTCGCCAACGGGCCGTGTTCCAGTCCTTACATTGATACATTAATGTGTTCCCCGATATTGCTGGAGCATTGCGGTGTAAAAGCATACTCATTTACATCCATCACTGTGGGTGTTTAATTTAGATCCTTGAGCATCATGTAAACACTGTGCTCGATACAAAACATGAAATTGATGTATTTATATCTGTAGCTGATGCATACACGTGTACGTAGCACCAGGAAGGGTACGTGAATCCACGGACAAAATACAATTTAGAAGTTATTTGTGTCTTGAAGTATTCCTTCAAGGAGCCAGGTATAGATTTTGAGGGAAAGCAGACGGTGTGATTTCCCCTTGGAACATCTTGAAACCCCCGTGTGTTCCCCCGGTACAGGTTTAATAACTCGTTGCAGCTGAAATTGATGAATTTGATGGTAAATAAAACACTCGATCGCTCCCGACTGATTTGGCTGTAATTGTGTTCAATACTTCCAAGTTAGCTTCAGTTATCAAATGCCAACATGGAACATGT